CGAGTTTCTCACCAATCAAGAGACCAATCACAACACCACACAGATCAACATAAAAATAAAACTCCTAGAGTCCCACATCAATCACGACGGGAGCCAAAGACTCTCATCAACTATACAAGGAGACTGTTCACGTACAATTAATTCCTAATGTCATTATTGTGCTTAAACTTGTGATTAGAACTCACTAATGATGATTATGCTTAAACTTATGTCTTGTGTAAAATCTTCACTATTAATGAGGACTCCTCAACCCTCGTGGACGTAACCCAATTTAAGGTGAACCACGTACATCTTGTGTTGCTTCCTTACCAATATCTCTTTACATATTATCCTCGCCTAGTGACCAGAGCAACCTTGCGAAGGTTACAAACTTGACACTTTACATCGTTCCAAAGTCTCATTGATTTTGTGCATCAACATTTGTAAATAGTTTCTTGCAAGCAATTGAGCCCGCAGATGCCATGAGTTTTGAAACTGTATTAAACAGGTGGAACATATTAAAATCTAATAGCATCTTTATGTTTAACTAGGAATAAAAAATAGATATTTGTAGTATATAGCACAAGTTTTAAAACTCTTTAACTCTTCTTTCTAAGTAAATTTGGCAAATACGTACAATCCAATCTTCGACCATTTCAAGCTTATACTTTTTCTTTTCTTCTACCAAATTTGTCATGTCACCCAAGGTCATATGCAAAGTCAGCTAATTGCAAACATTTGAGTTAAGTTGTGCAAAAAGTTGAGTTCGCTTTAATTGAAAAAATAATCACCAATACAATTAGGCAAGAAGGGGAAAAAGATAATCATGAGGAGCTGGAAATATTTTGACTTCAACAAGACGATATTGACCAGGTTTTACTTACGTACCTGCAAGCTCCAAGTTGTGGTATCAACTCCGAAAAAAAAAAAAAGATCGTCCCACTATTGAAGGCATAACTTTTGAAGTTGAATACGGTAGATTAGCTACCGAGTATTGTTCAAACAGTAGATAATTATTTGACCGAACGAAAAAGTAGAAATTTATGAACAAAATTCTTTACGTAAGTACGTAACCGATAAAGATGAAGAATTTGGTCTTGATCTTTTTCTTCTTGTGAGAGTTTTAATATTGAATTTGTAAACCCAGTGGTTTTGGAAATAACTAGGTAACGACGTGATTACAAAAGTAAATGAGCACAATGGGGATTTGGCAAAGTAATCACGTTTAAGTTGATAAAATATACATTTAAGAGCTTTAGGAAAATTTTATATTTGTTGTTTGTACCGTACTTCATCACTTCCGAAACTACCAATCACTGGTCAACTCCGTACCTTCAAGGGCCCACTGAAGAGCTCATGTGTAGGCACCCTTGCTGAAGCACATGAGTTCCTCCCCAATCCAGAGACTAATCATAACACGACACATGTCAACATCAAAATAAAGCTCCTAGAGTCTTAGATCAATCGTGGACAGGATCCGAAGACTTTCCTTATCTATAAAAGGAGGCCGTTCTCCAACAATTAATTTCTAATGCCATTATTGTACTTAAACTCGTCCTTAGAACTCACTATTAATGATTATGCTTAAACCTATGTGTTGTGTAAACTTTTCACTATTAATAAGAACTCATCTACCCTCGTGGACGTAACCTAACTTAGGTTGAACCACGTACTTCTAGTGTTTGTTTCCTTACCTCTATCTATTTACATAGTATCCTCACTCGGTGATTGAAGCAACCTTGCGAAGGTCACAAACTTGTCACTTTACATTGTTCCAAAGTTTAATTCATTTTGTGTATCAACATTTGGCGTTGTTTGTGGAAACGAGATTAATTCCTACTCTCACCAACTTTGTCAGACTGGTTTCTATCGTGCATGCACTCTCATTTGATAAGGCATGCCTCTCCAACATGCGGAGCGAAGGAAGCTACAACATGCAGAAAAGCACCCCTTGCATGCCTAGCGTGAGGCAGCGAATGAGGGAAAAGATCGAGCCTGCTCTTCGAACTAAAGTCGAAGAGGTTAGAACTCAGTATAAAATTAAAAAAATGACCATAAGGAATGAGATCATTGAGGAACAATATGAGAATGTCTTCGAGATGTTTTGCGACGCTATACAGACTTAGTCTTAAGAGCCATTGCCTTCGTGACTGCGGATCAACACATAGTACCCACCAACGGAAAGATTCACATGTCTTTAACACGACATTCTTAATGACGAGCGGCCTTATACCCAAGATATTGATCAACACGAGACTTCTCTCAACCTAGCTGCTTTAAACCGAAGCAAAACAAGTGGAAGAAGACATCTCCTTGTAAAAGGAATGGAATGATCAACGGCCGGTTATCGCGACTGTCAAGACCTCTTACGGCATCGTTGAGAAAAACCTATCCACATAGGCTCAAAGATCATTGACCTAAGGGTCATCAAAGGAATCATTCACTTACCACAACCAAGGTCAACTACTAACCTAAGGAAGAAACGACAAGACTTAGAGGAACAAGAAGGTGTTTAAGACTTGGGGGACTTCCAACATGCATTTCCCGGAAGCTAGTATGGTGAATAAAAAAAAACGCCACATACTCTTGACTATACTTGCCTACTACCAATAAATGATGGAAACTATGAATTAGGGTTCTAATAGTGCCTGACTCCACTGAGGACCGCCTTATCCTGCAGCTTCTCAAGGAAGTGAACAGACTAAAGGCCAAACGTCATGCCAAGGTACCTGACTAGAATCAGCCGAGGCCAGGCCCTCTAGCAAGTAGGATTTTTGGCACCCCTTTACAAGGAGAAACAAAACAGAAGCTTGGTTTGCTATCGTAAATTGGGAGGGGAGATCCAATTGAGCATATCTATCTCTTTGAATCCACCATGGCATACCGAGGCATAGTAATGAAGAACGATGTCTTATTTTCCCTTTCATTCTATCTGTGGGACCTCTCAATTGGTATTGTCATCTTCAACCTGATACAATAGATTATTATGCTACGCTTAAGAGACTTTTTGTGGTGCAACGCATCTTCTAGGCTTATTTCTTACACTCCACTATAGATTTGTACACCATTCATCAGAAGTCAAACCAGTCATTGCGTGAACATGCCAGTAGCTTCAGCCACGAGTATTCATTTTGTGATGTGGTAGATTATAAAATAGCACTCAGGGCCTTCACAGTAGGTGTCAACATACACTTTTTCCCTTTGGCATGTGTTGCAATGTGCCTTGACAACTTGTCATTATTCTCACCCACTTCGTAATGCAAGAACTCACCTTTGTATCAGCAACTAGGTGATGAAAGGTACAACTCATACTCTAATAAATAATTTCTTTCCTTTGGAAAATTACCATGCTTTCCACCAACTAGGTAATGAAGGATCTCACTCTCGTCCACTAACTAGGTGATGGAAAGTACAACGAGTACTCCACTTTTTTCACTAACCAGGTAATGAAGGGACTCACCTTGTATCACCAGCTAGGTGATAAAGGGTACTACCCGTACTCTAATATATAATTTTATCATTCAACAGTAACGATGCTTTAATAAAGCAACAAAGGCTTCTCTGCATTTGTAATACTTTGACAAGTCTGAAGCTTTATTAACCTAGAAAGCTACATATCGTATACAAAGGCTAAACTTTTACAAGACTATTTGACATCGAAATGTGAAGCGGTCGCTTGCAAAACTCTTCAGTCCTCTTACATCTACTTCAAATATTTCTCTCTTCAACAGTGCAAACACTACAACCCCAATATGGGTTTGAAAGGCAACTATTGGGAGGTCAATAAATTTATATAGCTTCCAAAAGGGTTCAAGTAACACGTAGGCTTCAACTCTTCAATGGCTTAATTTGCACCATGCAGTATGGAACGCTATTAACATCTCCTTCAACTGCACCAGAAGGTCAAACATTGTAGCTTCAATAAACTAGTTGGGTTCCCATGGATACAGTTCGAAGGAAACTCATTTGTAGGCTTTCTAAAAGCCTCAGGCATTTTCTACTCCAACATTTAGAAGAACTTCCGCCATTCAAGTTACGTGCCCAAAGGGAAAAACTTCAACCATTCACGCCATTTGTCCAAAGGAAAAAGCTTCAACCACTCAAGTTATATACACAAATGAAAAAACTTCAACTAGATTTTCTTTTCTCAAGAAAAAAAAAATTAAAAAGAAAAAAAACGGATTTGGGCTTAAGAAAAAAAATATATATGTACTTGGGCTACATCCAAAAAAAAAAGGAAAATTTTTTTAAAGTCTTTTTTCTTCAATGACTCGGGAAGCATAAGACACCACCTTCGGTAATCCTTCTTCATTGGAGATTTGGGGGACACCCATTATATGGTAATACACTTTAGTACTCGAAAGTTTCGTGAGTACTCTGCAACTTGGGTTTTGCAAGTGCTTAACCGAGAAGCTTTCCTTACTTAGGAACTTGGGGGAGCATTGTTTGTTTCATACTTCACCACCCCCAAAACTACTAAGCACCGGTCAACTTCATACCTTCAAGGACCCATTGAAGAGTTCATGTGGAGGCACCCTTGCCGAAGCACACAAGTTTCTCACCAATCAAAAGACCAATCACAACACCATAGAGATCAACATAAAAATAAAACTCCTAGAGTCCCACATCAATCGCAACGGGAGCTGAAGACTCTCATCAACATCTCCTTCAACCTCACCAGAAGGTCAAACATTGTAGCTTCAATAAACTAGTTGGGTTCCCATGGATATAGTTCGAAGGAAACTCATTTGTAGGCTTTCTAAAAGCCTCAGGCATTTTCTACTCCAACATTTAGAAGGACTTCCGCCATTCAAGTTACGTGCCCAAAGGGAAAAACTTCAACCATTCACGCCATTTGTCCAAAGGAAAAAGCTTCAACCACTCAAGTTATATACACAAATGAAAAAACTTCAACTAGATTTTCTTTCCTCAACAAAAAAAAAATTAAAAAGAATCAGACTACTTGTCTTCTTGTAGTTGGATCTCCAAGTTTTTGGAATGCTCCAAATTCTAGTTGAGCATCTAAATCTGGATCAATACCAACAAAAACATCTCGAAACAAGGCTCTAGCTCCATGCCAAATGGATTTATTTTTTGTCCCATAATCCCCCACTACTATATATATCGTGAAACATGTCATCTGTTTGTATTTTTTTTTTTTTAAGTCATTCGTTTATTTTTTTTAAGCATAACATAATATAGCATATTTGTATTTTTTTTATAATATAAGATATTCTTCCTTAAAGCATCCTCAGCTCTAATTTATAGATTACCTTTCTTGAATTTGGGATTATGTCTTAGAATTTGTTTGACACCTTCCTTGAATGTTATTTTGAATTATGAGTTAATTTTTAGATACTTTGTTTCCAATATTGGTACAACTGTTAATTGGCAAGGTGCTTGAATTTTGTTAAGGATTATTTGTTAACTTGCAGGTGCGCTTGAATATGGACATTCTAGATAATGATGAGGAAGAGTTTGACATATTAGCATGCGCTTGTACTCGAGCTATTGAAGCATATTATCTAAAATATGTGCATAAAACTCCATGTATGAATTTTTTCAAACAGGTAACATTTGGTTAATGAAAGTATTGCAAGCTAACTATAGTTTGAAAGGTTCAGGGAGAAAGTGATATTAGGAATGTTCTTGCATATGTTAGGACATAGTATAGAAGAAAAAAAAAAAAAAAAAAAAAGAGTAGCTAGGAGCAATTTCAACACTCTTCTGAGACCGTTAGTAGATATTTTGGTGTTCTGTTGGATATTGTATGTTAGATGGCAATAGATATTATCAAACCTATGGATTCCGAATTTAATACCACCCCATGGGGCATAAAGGTAAAAGACATCATCTCTCATATTTTTATAGGAGTGGCCAACCAACGGGGCATAAAGAGGTATTCAACCATAGACATTTTTCTCTTAGAAGCATAATTGAGCGTACGTTTAGAGTATGAAAAAAAGGGGGGGCAATTTTGAGGGATATGCTTGATTGGCTGTTCAATACGCAAGTGAATATTGTCATTGCTACAATGGCTCTTCATAACTACAAAAGGAGGCATTCTGAACGTGATAGGCATTTTGATGACCCCGAAGACTATAGTGAAGAGAGCGATATTGATGATGATGAAGAGGAAGATCGAAATCACGACCAAGGAGGGATGGAAGCATTAAGAAATAGCATAATGATGAACGCATATTTTACTATTTATTATCTCGCAAAAGCTACATTTTCTTGTGATATTTTGGACTTAGAGGAAAGGAATTACATAGTGTTGTGCTTTTATAGTTATATTAATGAGGTGGAGGAAAATATGATGTTATAATTCCTTATTTTTAAATAAACCTAATGGTTTGTTATGATTTAAGTGTCTACCTATTTGGCTGTATAATATACTTGTGGCCTACATTCATTTTTTCTTTTATTTATGTGCAGTGCATGTCACTTGTTGGAATTGGAGAAGCCTTCAGCACGAGTTTATTTCATAGATCACATGTCTATGCAATACTGAATCGACAAGGAAAAGAAAAAAACAAAAGAAAGCTGCATATTTCCTCTCCCATTTTTCAGGGTTAGCCTCCATACGAAACCAGAATAAGAGAGACCTTAGTGAAGTTAAATTGGACAGAAATATGGTGAAACACCTACACAAAGCAATTTCAAATTCATGGGTCTTTGCCAAAAGCATAAATTTGGGATATTAGGTTGCACAATCTGTTCAATTGCAGACGAAGTCTGATCAGCCATGGTGGATATCTATTTGGAGATGAAACTTCGATTGGAATTGTTATGTCTTTACCATTAGAGGCAGCGTAATCTCTTAGAGGTCAACTAAACAGACCTTAGTTGCCACTTCGTCCAACAACTGAAATTCTCACCGTACACGATCTATGAAGACAACGCAACATGCATTTTACAACTCAAGAATATTTCTGGATGGTAATGGTTCTGGGTGATATTTGAAGCTCCTGCGATCTTTTCCCCGTCGTTGACTTCCCGACGATGATCTATGAACACAACGCAGCATGCATCGAATGCTCAAGAAGGGTTACATCAAAGGAGACAACACCAAGCACATTGCATCGAAGTCTTTCTTCTCACATCAACAACAAGAGCATCAGAAGATTGAAGTCACGCAAATTCGTTCACAAGACCACCTGGCTGACCTCTTCACCAAATCACTACCGAAGGCGACATTTCAGAAGCTTGTTCAAGGATTGGTATGTGTAAACTTTCTGAGTTGTAACATTGTTAGTTCCCTTTGGAATTATGTCAAACTCAGGTGAGTATCTTGAAGTATACTTGCTTGATCTTAATGTATTATTTTTCCCTACGATTAGAAGCATTTTTACCACTGGGGTTTCGCTACCTGACGAGGTCTTGACGAGGCTCTCATCTTGGGTTGGTTATATCCTTGATGACGTCCTGTAGACATTTCATTTGACTTTGCATTGCTCCCAAATTTTTCTTTAACTATTTTGTCCTTACTCGGATTTTTACCATAGCCTTAGGCTTTTTTGTGAGACTTATTTCCTTATGCAAGTTCCTACCTTATTGAGACTACCGTGTTCCCAGAATCAGTGACGACGAGTCGACTTCCTCAACAACACATGATGCCGAATCTACTTGAGTATTTACACACTCGAGGTGGAGTGTTATAAACTTCTTATTTAAGTGTGATTGTGTAAATCTTAGATTATATTTTATTCTAGTTATTCTTCCCTATTAGGACTTGTATTCCTTGGAGGAGAATGATTTCTTTCCAACCTTATTATTATATATAAAGGCACTGTGTAGGGGGAATAACACATTTAGGAGGTCAATCAATTTGTATAGCTTCCAGAAGGCTTCAAGCAACATATAGGCTTCAACTCTCCGATCTCTTAATTTGCACCATGTAGTATGAAGCATTATTAACATCTCCTTCAACTGTACAAGAAGGTCAAACATTGTAGCTTCATTAAATTAGTTGGGTTGCCTTGGATATGGTTTGAAGGAAACTCATTTATAGGCTTTCTAAAAACCTCAGGCATTTTCTACTCCAACATTTACAAGAACTTCGAAGTCGCGAACTTCAATAAGCTATATAGCCACCATGACAACATGCAAGTATTATATCTTAACTTTACTTGCCAACAATGGTAAATGGAAACTTCGGTGGGAAATGCACACTAGTGTCCAAGAAAAAGAAAAAAAAATCATATTCTGCCAATTCTCTAACTCATCAACAACATGAGAATGATCCAACAAAAAATTGCTTCGCACAGACTGTGCGCGAAATCAATATATGGAGTGGTTGAAGCTTGAAAAAACTTCTACCTTTCAACCTAAGTGTCCACAAAAAAAAAAGCTTCAACCACTGAAGCTATGTGCTTAAGGGAAAAAGCTTCAACCACTCAAACTATGTGTCCAAAGGAGAAAAGCTTCAACCACTCAAGGTATGTATCCAAAGGAAAAAGCTTCAGCCACTCAAGCTATGCGCCCAAAGGAAAAAGCTTCAACCACTCAAACTACGTGTCCAAAGGAAAAAACTTCAGCCAAGCTATGCGCCCAGAAGAAAAAGCTTCACCCACTGAAGCTATGTGTCTAAAGGAAAAAGTTTCAGCCACTCAAGCTATGTGCCCAAAGGAAAAAACATCAACCCTTCAAGCCATTTGTCCAAAGGAAAAAGCTTCAACCACTCAAGTTATATACACAAATGAAAAAACTTCAATCAGATTTACTTTTCTCAACAAACAAAAAAGAAGGAATTGGGCTTAAGAAAAAAAAATATATGTACTTTGATAAGCTTATATTTATATATATTTTATATCAAATTCACTTGTCTTTTCTTAGTTAGTTCCTTATATTTTTTGAGTTATTTACTTTGTTTTTGTGTTTTGTAGGATTTGTCAAGTAAAGAAAAGAAAAATAGCACAAGTGGAATTTTAAGTAACAAATTCGTCAAAACTGTCTGTGCAGGTCAGCTGACTTTGGAAGCAAGTTGCAGACAGCTCAGAATGAATTAGAGAATGAGCTTTATATGCTTGCAAAGCTACGGATGTCTATTTTCTGGAGCATTTTGTGGATTGTTAATATTATTTTTCTAGAAGAAGTTATGGGCGTTTTAACACTGACATGTTCCTAAGAGGCTGACCAGTTTGTAACTGACAAGAAAGGATTGAAAGCAATAAATCCAATAAATCTAGCAGCCAAAACTGATGCAATCAAGAACAAACCAGCTGACAGGAAATGGAATTAAAGATGAGGATTAAGAGGGAGTAATTGGCATAAAGGCTACCCAAGGAGTTACAATTGTTTTACCATTTCCTCTCACTTATTGTCATCACTAAATGGCTATTAGTGGGTGAGTTAAGGAGAAGAAAATGATGCAACAAGAATTGGTTTAAAAGTAGCGTTGGGGAAGGAAGGAAAGAGGAGAGCCTTAGTCGATTTCTTTTGGTTCTATTTTCTCAAACTTCTTTTGTTTTAACTTAAGGATTGTGTTACTATATTTTTAGTAGTTAGGGGCTGTTTTGAAGCCCCGAATATGATTGCAAGTTTGTTATGACATTTCGTTTGAATTACTTTTATGAATGAATGAAAATTGGTTCACTACTTGTCTTATTGATGAATTCTTTATGTGTTTTCTACGGATGCATACTTAGTAAGCATATCTAGGATTCTAATGCTATGAATATGTGTGTGCCTGCCCTTGTCGAATGAGGACCTACATATATTCTAGAGTAGTACTTGTTAATTGCGATTAACATGTGAATCAATTTCTAGGATAAGTAAGACAACGCTAGTACTTACGATGCCTTGTGATGACTCAAACTCTTTTCGTTCTTAATGATTTCTACTTGTTAAATCTATGAACACATCATTCTAGATTGCATGCTAGGGACTAAGTTAAGTTGAAAACGCCATTCTCTCAACATACTACATAAGAAAGAGTAATAGGTTGAGTTCTAACATTGAGCCAACTTGAGCATCTTCATTCGAAAATGAAGGGAAGTTGAATGAAACATAACATGTTTGCATGATTATTTGGTGGTGGATAGCAATTCCCCTTACTCATTTTTCTTAATTTGCGAACTACTGAAAAATCTGTTTCTGTTCTGTTTTTGTTGGATTTAATTTAAATAGCAAATCAACTCCAAAAATCCCAAATATTTGTGTGAGTGTAGCTCTGTGTGTCTAGTATTTTCATCTAAAATTTGGTAGACTTTAGATAAGTATAAGTCGGTCTAATAATTAGTTTTTGGTGGCTGGCCAGTAGGGACAACAGCCCAGTTTTTGTAACATTTTAAGTAGTTAGATAAAACAATCTTCTACGGGAAAGACCCTTATTTTCATATGCTACAATTGACAAATATTATTGTTAATAAGGAAAATTAATAGGACATTTGTGTGCTACTTTGGGCTTAAGAAAAAAAGATATATGTACTTGGGCTACATCCAAAAAAAAGAGGAAAGAATTTTTAAAGTCTTTTTTCTTCATTGGCTCGGGAAATATAAGACACCTCCTTTGGTAATCCTCATCGATAGGAGATTTGGTGGACTCCTAATATATGCTAATACAGTTTAGTACTCGAAAGTTTCATGAGTACTCACCAATTTGGGTTTTGCAAGTCTCCAACCGAGAAGCTTTCCTCACTCGTGAACTTGGGGGACCACTGTTTGTTCTGTAGTTCACCACCCTCGAAACTACTAAGTATCGGTCAACCTCATACCTTCAAGGACCCACTAAAGAGTTCATGTGGAGGCACCCTTGCCGAAGCACATGAGTTTTTCTCCAATCAAGAGACCAATCACAACACGACAAGTGTCAACCTAAAAATAAAACTCCTAGAGTCCCACATCAATCGTGGATGGGAGCCGAAGGCCCTCATCAACTATACAGGGAGACCGTTCTCGAACAATTAATTCCAAATGTCATTATTGTGCATAAACTCGTCATTAGAACTCACTAATGATGATTATGCTTAAACTTATGTCTTGTGTAAAATCTTCACTATTGATGAGGACTCCTTCACCCTCGTGGATGTAGCCCCATTTAAGGTGAACCACATACATCTTGTGTTGCTTCCCTACCTTCATCTCTTTACATATTATCCTCACTAGGTAATGGAGCAACATTGCGATGGTTACAAACTCGACACTTTACGTCGTTCCAAAGTCTCACTGATTTTGTGCATCAACATTTGTAAATAGTTTCTTGCAAGCAATTAAGCCCGCGCGATGCTGTGAATTTTAAAACTGTGTTAAGTAGGCGGAATATATTAAAATCTATTAGCATCCTTATGTTCAACAAAGAATAAAAAATAGATGTTTGTAATATATAGCAAAAGTTTTAAAACTCTTTAATTCTTCTAAGTAAATTTGACA